CGTTTGATAGTACCATTATAGGACGCAATGCACTCATCGACAGTCAATGAAAGAATCCACCCACGCTTTCAATTGCTTGCCATGAGGCTTCCAGCCTGTTGTTTGTGTTATTTCCGAGTGTCACCGTATATTGGCGCTTATACGCACACCACATCTCACGGCAGTTGTCCCAATTCCGGCGGAAGTACGCCACCAATGGGTGGCCTTCGCCGCATCGAACGGGTGCTCTCGTTGGCGTCCGGTCTGTACCCGATTTCGCATGCTTAACTGTGCCAGACTCACCCCCTACTGCACCAGACTCACCCCCGACTGGCCCCGATTGACGGTCGTCTTAGTTCGGTTCACTCCCAGTTGGCTCCGGCACATTAGACGCTGGGACGTAATAGCCAATTGACGCGAGGTGGACCATGTACCGCAAATGCTTCTCGTATTCTGCTTCAGTCTTTGCGTACACCAGTAAACTCATCGCACCCCCAAGTTTCTGCTTCTGGGTCTTCGAAGATCCATAGTCAGCCGAGGCAATCTCTTCACGTAGGTATTTCAGTACGTGAAATTGGTAGAGCAAAATAGTCACTCCAGAAAAAGCTTCTTTTAATACTGAGATCTCCGTGAAATCCTTATCCACAAGAACACACTGCAACTGTAATGGGCCCAACTCCAATAACATAAGTAGGTAGATATTTCTTTAGTTATTACATAAGTAGGTAAAGTGGCACACGGGTAGCGTGTGCCAAGGTGTCATGATCTGATTGGTTGATAGTGAGGAGCCAGACTCACTTATTGGCCAATCAGGTAAAGACATGTGTTTGAGTGGTTCACACGAGGCCAGGGGTAGCCGCCCTGATCCTAAATAAACCAGAGTTGAATTTGACACAAACCTAAGACTTGGTTTTATTATTGCGAGCTTCCTCCACACTATAGTGTAAGCTAGTGACGGTATCTCTTACCCCGTTACACCTGGTAGCACTTCGTTACACCTGGTAGCACTATGTAGTTCTTCCAACGACCAAGTCTACGATGAGCCAAGTCCAGATCTCCGGGGCGACCCTGGAGCATGCTGCATTCCCCCATCTCACTCGCGTGGAGTGGGAAGCGCTTCACCGCCTCGTGGCGGTGTCCGGAGACGCTGTTGTCGCATCGCTGCTGAGCTCAGTGACGCCCGACCAGCAACGTCTTGCAGCACAAGAGTTCATGGAAGGCGAGCTCGCCGATGCGAATCGGCGGGTGTCAACTCCCTCGCATCCATCCCAGAATGACGTCGTCAAGATGGAGACGTCTACGTATTCGGGCGCCGGTGAAAACCGGCTCCCGTTAAACCGGTGGTTCCGCGAGATCGACATCGCTATCGCCTCGCGACGCATCGAGGCGTCATCCGCCAAGATAAACTTCCTCCTCTCCCGGTTAACCGGGAAGGCCAAAGAATGGGCCCTCGGGAAGCTGGTTGTCGACCCCGAGGCTTTCCCGACTCTAAAAACTCTCCAGAGCGACTTGCGCCTCGCGTTCGAGCCCCCGCAAGATGAGTCTCGCGTTCGCGCAGAGTTCTTCGCTCTTCGGCAAGGGCAGATGTCCATGCGTGATTACGTCCAGAAGACGCGACATCTGGCGTCATGCATCGTGACCAAGCCAATCGACATGGCCTCGCAAGTCCACGTATTTGTGTTCGGCATGCGCGAGGGTATGACCCGCTACTGCCTCACCAGAGCTGAGCCCTCCTCTCTCGAGGAGGCGTTTGCACTCGCGATTCGCGAGGATTACATGGTCGCTGCATCGTACGCCGCAGCCATACCTGCGGAAGCCCGAGAGTCTACCCCCGAGCCCATGGAGATCGACGCCATCAACGCGTCGAGCGATCGACGTCGCGGGTCCTACCGCGGCAGCGCTGGGCGAAGCAATCGTTCCCTCATTTGCTTCCGCTGTGGGAAGAAGGGTCACCTCGCGGCGAAGTGCCGCGCGCCAGCTCCCGTCGTCTCTCACGTCGACGCGGAACACGCCTCGGTCGCTCATTCAAAAAACGACCAGGACCAGTAGGTACGGGGCACCCTACTGGCTTTAACGAAGGACCGGGCCCTCCGGTGGCAGCCCAACCTTCGAGCCCTCCCGTGCTCCAAGCACACACCAATGCCACCACTACGCCGGGCGACTCGAGACTGATCATTGTCAGCCTCCACGTCACCGGTGCCCGGCGACCACTGCGCGCGCTCCTTGACTCAAGAGCGACCAACAACTTCTTTCGCGCGTCGTGTGTGTCGGTACTACCCAAGAACGTCCGCGTCCGGAATGGTCCGGGCGAGATCCAAGTCAAACTCGCAGATGGTAAGGCTCGCCGCGTTGCGCGGCGTGACGTGTCCTTGTCGTACACGTTCGACGGCTTCCGTAGCAAGGACGACTTCTTGGTGATCGAGATGAACTACACGTTTGACTGCATCCTGGGCATCCCTTGGCTAGCGCGATATCAGCCAGAGATTGACTGGCTGGCCCAATCAGTCAAGCGTCGACGTGGATTCGACGTGAGCGAGGTCTTCACACACCTCTTGGTGGCGCCAAGAGACTGGCCCCACGTCACAGTCGTAGACAAAACAGCAACGACACAGGCAGTGCACAGAGCGAGCGATGGCCCTCTCTGCATGGCTTGTGCTACGTTGTTGGACGAAGAGCCCTCGCGGTTCGCGAGGTAGATGATGAAGTGGCTGAGCAGCGGCTCCCACAGTACAAAACGGTGGTCGAGCAGGGGCTCCCACAATACGAGACAGTGGTCGAGCAGGGGCTCCCGCCGAACGATTCGGCGATCGAGCAGATTGGGCTCCCGTCAAACGATGCCGCGGTTGAGCAGGGGCTCCCGCGTGTTCCCGGCCCGGTCGAGTACGGTCTCCCGCGCCTAGAGGAGGGTGATGCATTGTCGAGTAGCAGTGCGTCAGACTCGAGCGTAAGCTCGAGGAAGTCGAAGTAGAAGTCGAAGAGACGACACCTGAAACCTCGTCGAGACTCCACGACCAGCGATAGCCCGCCGATGGAATCGGTCAGCGCGCTGGAGTACGTGGAAGGAGGCCCGAATCGGTCGCGCAGCATCGCAATCGCGAGCCCGGCGCGCGAAGCGGCGGCGATCACACGCTTCCAGGCTTGTCCTAAAAAGAACTTTCTTCGGGACCTCAAGGCTGGAGACGTCGAGCAAGTATGCTTGGTCACCGAGGCAGTCTCGGTGGATGAGTCAGCAAATGCGGTCGCAACGGACAGTGAACGTTCACGTCCGCTAGGTGCTGAACCTAAGTCTGCTCGAGAGGAACGATTCCAAACGCAAACTTGGGAGGCCTTACTAGAGATCAGCGAATTCCGTAACGACACAGCCTGCGAGTACGCCGACGTCTTTCCGGATGAGATCCCCGCCGAGCTACCGGCGGATGGTGGGGTTCAGCATGAGATCGACCTCGCGCCAGGTACGAAGTACTGCGTCACCAGACAATGGCCACTTCCTCGTGATAAAGTGGAAGCGATCGATGACTTCTTCGAGGGCGTGAGAGTACCTCTCCTTATTCCAGTCCAACGTTATGTGTGAAGAAAGCTACAGGGGGATGGCGTATTGTTCACGTATTCAGCATGTAGAATGATGCCACCATCCCCGCGCAGACTCCGATCCCTCGGAAGGACATGGTACTGGACTCCATGGCTGGCAGCGTCTTCTACAGCGCCATCGACCTGACCGATGGATTCTAACAGATCCTGATGAGATCATCCGATGTGCCTCTCATCGCCGTAAGTACACCGAGCGGGATGCTCTGGGAGTGGCTCGTGATATCACAGGGTCTCAAGAAC